AAAAAAAAAAAAAAAAAAAAAAAAAAAAAAAAAAAAAGACACCAAGGCACATGGCAGTGAGGGAGCGAGGTAACAAGACACCCAGTGACTGGGTCAGCTACCGTCTTCCCTCGAACACAACGCACCCTGAAAATCTGAAAATGAATGTATATTCGCTATATTTCCGGTTTGGTACAGCCATAATCAGGTTGCGTTGTGTTCGGGGGAAGACGGTAGGTAGCAAGGGGCCAGCGGTCCACTATACAATACTCCACATGCTTTTGGACGTGTTCTAGACTGGATGCATTCAGAATGCTGGACTAGTCCGAGTGCACCTGGCCCAGAAAAAAAGCATCCAAATGCATGTAGAGTGTTGGTGTAGTGGAGCGAGAGCCATAAGGAAGTCAAACGACAAGGCACAAGCAGCAGGGCGGCATAATGAGCAGCAGGCAACGAGCCAGCACAGCCACAAGGCAGCAAAAGCACCAACAAGGCAGCGGAAGTACCAACAAGGGAGCAAAAGCACCAACAAGGCAGCTAAATGACGAGTCAAACAGCCAAGGAGGAAAGCGGAAAGAGCAAGCAAGCAGACGGGCAGCAACGCATCGCATCAGCACAAACGAGGCAGTCCACACATACAAAACAGACAGAACCAGATCATGAGTCCACACATACAACACAAGTAAAACTCCACAGCCTGTCAGTTCACAGACCACCATCAGAGCCAGCGAGTCCCCTCGGCGAATGTTGCAGGCGCTTTAAACAACCAGTCACGGACTACATGGCAGGCATAAAAAATAAGCACAGGAAAACGCCAGAAAACGGACAAGATGGACAAAAGAAAAGAATCCTAGGAATGCGGAGAAGAAAAGGGGAAGTTATCAACATATGGTTTTTGTGTGCGTGTTGTCATATTCTCTATAGACTCAAGAAAACCATTACTGTGCCAGACTGTGTGTGTGTGTGTGCGTGTGTGTGTGCGTGTGTGTGTGCGTGTGTGTGAGAGAGAGAGAGAGTCTGTGTGTGTGTGGGGGAGAGAGAGAGAGAGAGAAAGTCTGTTTGTGTGTGTGAGTGTGTGTG